CCTAGCCTGCCCCTCGAGTTCTCCTGGAACTAGAAATCAGTTTTCACTGATTTCCCACCCAGCAAGGAAAACTGCCCATCAGGACTCCAGCTTGGGAGGGAAGAGCCCAGCGGCTGAGAGCTGTCCGTGGTGCTGCCCGAGTGAGTGGCTCAGCTTCTGGCTGTGTCTGCTGCCCTGGGGCTTGCGCTCACTGAACTCTGGTTGGTAAACCTGCAGCCTCTGCCAGCAGAGGTGGCTGGAGGGTGGGAACAGATAGGGTTCTGGAGAAAGGTCTGTGATAGCCAGGCAGCTCCCCCAAGGGATTTTTTGCTGGGCTGGCCTGGGGAAAAGAAGAAAGAAGCGCTTATTATGGGAGAAACAGCAGGCCAAGAGTTCAGTTGCCTCTTGTGTGTTCACTGACAGCTACTGTGCCACAGGACCAAAGGATGCCAGGAGATTGTCATTCATTACAATCTGCCCTGTGTGGTCAGAGAGGCACACAGGGCAGCTGCATCCAAGTTCCTCACCAAGGTTCTGGGAAGGTGGAAGGTTACTGGAGCAGTCCGAGTGGGAAACAGTTGGGACCAGGATCATGTTGTAGGATTTCAAAGCCTGCATTGCTCTGTGTCCCCAGGGGTTAGCAATTCTATGTCAGATCTACCCTGCTCAGCTTCTGGGCATGGAACACATCTCTGTGTCTATCTTTCCCTCCCTGTGAAGAGGACTCTCTCCCTCCCCCTGGATGCTCTCCAGGCTTGTGACACCAAACCATAGATTAGGTTTATGGAGAAGGGAAGACAGGCGGGGAGGCTGACCAGATCCCACTGTCCTGTCCCTGCAGCTCCTGGTTTCCTGTGGTTTGTGGCGCAGTCAGTGTGTCTACAGCTAAGTTTTGCCTTTTTACCTGGTGGCCCACATTCCTGTGTCTGTTTGTGGTCTTCACAGCCTTTACAGGGAGGTGTGACTGAGGGTGTGGCTTAGGAATAGAATAGAAGGCTTGTTTAGCACAAGTGAGGCTCTTGGTTTGGTTCCCAGATCTTCAAGTAAGTTAATAATCAAATAGTCAACAGACATTTGGTTTAGCATACATACTGTGATTCTGTGATTTGCCTAATAACTGGCAAATGCCAATAATTGCAGAATCCTTCCCACCTTCTGAAAGTTGTTAATTTGCTCTCGTTACCACAGAACAGTGTGTTTATTTTTGTTACATTTTGTTTTGCTTTGTTCTACTTTTTTAAGGTTTACATATTTTTATTTTACATGCATGAGTGTTCTGCCTGCAAGTATGTAAGTGTGCCCATATATGTGTAGTGCCCAAGGAGGCTAGATCTTCACAGAGGGTGCTGGATCCCTGCAGCAGAGTTACAGAGATGGTCGTGAGCTTCTTTGCAGGTGCTGGGAACTGAATCCAGGTCCTCTGCAAGAGCAGCCAGTGCTTTTAACTGCTGAGCCTTCTCTCCATTTCTGTTACTTTATTTTTTAAAACAATCACCCATTTGATGTTTGTTTGTTTCTTTGTTTTTTGAGATGAGATCTTTTATAAGCCAGATGACCTTGAACTCTGGAGTCTGGGTTACAGGTGTATATGGTTATATCCAGCTTCATCTGCTTTTTAGCCTTTAATCTTTTTCCTTTTTCTGAAACACCATATGAATTTAATCACACAGGATTTAGGCTTGTGAGCCCGGCCTGTGTGTGTGATCATTCTGATCTCCCATGGTGCTATGGGGAGTTGTAAGCCATTGGCCAGTTCAGCTGTGTTTCCTGTGTCTACTTTCCTAGTTTCCACAGGGGCTCTCAGGAAAAACTCTGTGCACATGTGTGTGCTAACCTCTCTGTGGATACACGCCTCGTTCTCTAGTTGGACATGGGAGGACTGAGTTATGACTTTATAGGAATCTTACTTTTTTGTTTTGTTTTGCTTTTTCAAGACAGAGTTTCTCTGTAGCTTTGGAGCTTGTATTGGAACTAGCTCTGTAGACCAGGCTGGCTCGAACTCACAGAGATCTGTCTGTCTCTGCCTCCTGAGTGCTGGGACTAAAGGCATGCACCACAACTGCCTGGCTGAATCTGATATTTTTAAGAAGGCAAATTTTTCCTTTAAAAACACCACTAGGCGCCAGGCAGTGGTGGCACATGCCTTTAGTTCCAGTACTCAGGAGGCAGAGACAGACAGATCTCTGTGAGTTCGAGGCCAGCCTGGTCTACAAGAGCTAGTTCCAGGACAGGCTCAAAAGCTACAGAGAAACCCTGAATAGAAAAACCAAACCAAAACAAAACAAAAATAACAACAAAAAATACCACTTGAGGGACTATAAAGATGGCTCAGAGGTTAAGAGCATTGGCTGCTCTTCCAGAGGACCCAGGTTCAATACCAGCACCCACATGGACAGCTCACAACTGTCTGTAACTCCAATTCCAGGGGATCTGATATCCTCACACAGACATACATGCAGGCAATACACCAGTGCACATAAAATAAAAATAAATAAATTCTTTTTAAACATACCACCCAGAATACTGGAGAGATGTTTCAGTAGTTAAGAACACAGACAGCTCTTGCAGAAGACCCGAGTTCAATTCCCAAAACTGAACATGGTGGCTCACAGCCGCCCATAGCTCTAGTCCCAGGGCATCTGATGTTCTCACTGACTTCTCTAGATACCAGGCACACATGTGGTGCCCAGGCATACATACAGGTAAAACACATATACACATAGAATAAAATAAAATGTCCATGTAGGCCAGGCATGCTGGCTCACACCTCTAATCTGAGCACTGGAGAAGCTGAGATAGAAGTCCCATTAAACAGACAAGTAGGGCAGCGAGATGACTTAGCCGAAGTCTGGTGACCTGAGTGTGACCCCCCCCCCCCAGATCCCACGTGGTGAAAGAAGAGAACAGACTCCCACAGTTGTCCTCCAGTTTCCACATACACCACGGCATGATGCACACATGCCCATATACATGACACAGATAAATACACGTTAAGAAAAAGACAATGGTGAGGAGTAGGAAAAGGACATTTATTCAATATGACCACATGGTGAAGATTAGGAGAAAAAGAGGCCCAAGGACCCCTGAATCATGAGGGGTAGGTCTAAAGATTTATTATTTTCAATTATGTGTGTCTGTGCACATGCGTGCAGGCACCCACAGAGGCCAGAAGAGGGCATTGGGTCCCCTGGAGCTGGAGTTACAGGCGATTGTTAGCCGACTCATGTGGGAACCAAATCCCAGTCCTCTGAAAAAGCCGTGGCTCCAGCTCCAGTGTTGAAGTATGTGGACTACGTGCGCCTGCCTGGCCCCACAACCTTTCCCTGAAAAGGGCTCTCCCACCTTCTGCTCCTTGGGCCATGGAACTGCCCAGTTTCCGTGATTGGCTCCTCAGCAAATCCATGAGCATGGGTTTTCCGAGGCCCTAGTGTGGCCATGAGGCAGCTCTGGGCACATCCTTTAGCTTCCTCTGTTAGTTGGGGACATTGAGTGACAGTGAGGGTTTACTGTTACAGGCCACACAGGTCTTTGCCTAACTCATTCGTGGCCAAGGTCATTATCTCTGTTTTGTTAATATTGTAAATTGCCTGGATGCCCTAGAAGCTACCACCAGGTGACCTTTTGTGGTCCTGGGGACAGAACCCCTGACCTTGCCCATGCTCAGCAAGTGCTTGGTCACAGAGTTGTAGCCTGGTCCCACAGCTGACTTGTATTAGGGAACACAAGTGACCTTTCCTTTCGAGAAAGGGCAGTACTTTCCTCTGTGACTGACACCTGTGAGTTGCCTGTCTGGGACACAGGTTAGATTGAATCACAGGTCCCTGTTTGTCAGGCCACAGATGCTTCTGCCTCATCTCATGGTGTGTGCATAGTTGGACATTGCCTGGTGCAGAAAGGAGGCAGGACTTTCCAATGCCAATGGATGTGTCCCTCACCCCTGCCTGTGAGCCTGTGCCCTACCCCCTCACTTGAGGCTGGCAAGGTGTGCTGACCCTGAGCCCTCCCACTGTGTGTTGAACCAGACAGGCGTGGAGGATCACACATTGCTCTCAGCGGGTGGGGGAGAAGTCCCGGTTCTGTGATGGCTGGCACCTTCTGCTTGCCATCAGTCCCTGGTCTGGCCACTGATTGCTTCGGAGGATGGTGGAGGGTGTCTTACTACATAGGCCTTCCCAGAAGCAAGGCACTAGGGCTAGCTCTCCATGGTCGGTGGGGGGAGATGGGGAAAGAGAAAAACTCAGGAGTTTAATGTGTTGAGTAGCACAGGGTGATGATTTGTGTTGATCCACCTAGAGAGAGCGAGCCCACATTTGCTGACATGCTGTGTGCCCAGCACCGGCCGTTCATCCTCATGTAAGGAGCTTTGTGGCTCAGCAGCTTAGGCACCTGTCCTCTGTCACATAATAAAGTGGCAGAGCCGAAGAGGAAACCCAGATTTTCCTTAGCAATATGTGGAGGGTGAGTTTCTTCTGTCTTGTACAGGAAAGGACTTCACATTTCACTCATCATGCAGAAATACCTTTTGTAATAAAAATCTGAAGGAATCTAATGGGACTCAGTCTGGCGTCCTCTCAGGTCCTTCCTGCCTGCAGCTGAGCTGCACTGGCTGTCCCTTTAAGTCGGGTTCTCCTTGGGATTGCCACCGCAGCCAGAGGGGGAGGGCTAAGGATGTCTGCAGTGAAGATTTCCCCAGCAAAGCCTTTCTCCTTGCAGCATAGCCAGCCCGCCAGTGACGTCCTCACCGCTTCTAGATTTCCCTTTTCCTCTCCTCACAAGCCGCTGATTCATCGGCTAGGCAGTAGGGCCTGGCAGTCCTGGCTGTCAGGCTGCTGCTGGGTGGAGTCCTTGGCCTCCAGGGAGGCATCCCCAGCCTCTCTGATACCCGTGGGTCAGGGTGGCGGGCTCCAAGGGAGAAGGGGCAGAGCATCCCAGCCCTGTCAGATCTCTGACCAGAAATGCAGGGGGGAGGACCAGGCTTGACCAGGAGGGCCCCTTCTCACTCCTCTGGCCTCCTCCTGTAGGGTGCTTCAAGGATGACCGGATCGTCTTCTGGACCTGGATGTTTTCTACCTACTTCATGGAGAAACTGGCCCCCAGGCAGGACGACATGCTTTTCTACGTGCGCAGGAAGCGAGCCTACCCAAGCAGTGAGAGCAGCATCGACGGGAGGAAGGTGGGTGACACCCTCAACCTCCCCCCACCTGTGCCCTGAACATCCTGTAGGGTTTCCTTCCTCTCTGCAGCATTCATGTACAGCTGAAGGGAAGATCGCACTGAGTACCCAGCACATTGGAGGGACCCAGGAGACTTCTTCTGGGTTTGTTGAATTGTTTTTGCCATGACCCCAAAAGGCAGTAATTGTAGCTAAAAGAAAACTGAGGTTTGGGGTCCAGCTGATGTGACTAGCCTCTTAGAGTGAGTGAGCAAATGGGGGTACAGGGCTTTGAGCCCCAAGTCCGGGACACTTCCTGGAGTGGACAGGACAGTAGCTGGATGGTGGTGATGGTGACGGCGGACGGTGGTGATGGTGACGGCAGACGGTAGTGATGGTAGATGGTAGGGATGGTGATGGCGGACAGTAGGGATGGTGATGGCGGATGGCAGGCGGTAGGGATGGCGGATGGCGGATGGTAGTGATGGTGATGGTGGACGGTAGTGATGGTGATAATGTGTCCTTCTCTGACTTGGTCCTTACTGTAAACTAGGGGGATCACTCAGGGCTGTCCTTGGTCTTCTAAATTCCAAGCAACTGGGCAGATAGACAGATGAGGAAACAGGGCTTAGAGAGAAGCGACTCACCCAGGGCATTTCGTCTTCTAAGTGTGGCAGTGTGGCTCGGAAGTGGTGGCGCACGCCTTTAATCCCAGCTCTTGGGAGGCAGAGGCAGAGGCAGGCCTCTTTGTGAATTCAAGGCCAGCCTGTCTACAAAGCGAGTTCCAGGACAACTAGGACTGTTACACAGGGAAACCCTGTCAAAAAAAAGTATGTCAGTGTGGAGTTCTTGAGACAGATCTTGCATGCTTTCTTCTCTTTTCAGAATTCTTAGTGGCCTATAGAAGTTTAAGCAGCCCACATGTGAGGCATGGGGATAATGTGTTTACCTTTAAGAATAAATAGTGGTCAGAGTTTGAGGCTGGTTTGTGACTAATAGCCAGTCTGCTTCCCTGCGCCCAGCAGCTCAGGCTCTGTGGTTTCTCAGGCGTGACTCCCACCCTTGAGTGCCGGGAGCTCCTTCCTGTCACATGCTGCACATCTATAGCGCTTTTGCTGTGAGTGGTCACCTGGGCACTTGCTGCAAAGGAGACCTTTGGTGGCTCTCTTACCAGGCTGGCGTGGGAGGGGCCTGCAGGAGCCCATGAACCACTAACCAGGGGAGGGTAGATCTGGAGACGTATGTGATGCGTGGACTGGACTAGGGCCCAGGAGTGACAGGTGGGTGAGGCAGGAGAAGCTCTGTGCACAAGCTAAATCAGAGACCCGACTGGTGGGTCCATCTGGCATCTGTTGGTTGTGGCACCAGTGAGGCAGGAACTTCCTCAGTAGGGGGACCAGCCCTGGGCTCCTTGGTCCTACCCCTTATGCCCTTCCTGTCTGGTATACCGATCGAGTCCAGCTTTCTCCCCTTGATCAGTATTACGGTTGTGGCCCGGACCCAGACATCTCTGGAACTTAGAACTTAGTCAAGGCTGAACCTCCCATTGGCTACATGTGAGGCTGGAATGTTTGGGGTGATGTGGCCACAGAGATGCCCTTGGCAGGAAGGGACAGGTGCTACAGAGCCTCTGCGTGCTGGTGATCCAGCACCGGTGCACCCTGGTCATAGGCATTGCTTTCACTCATACCTTGGGATGAAGGTCCTTGGAGCAGCAGGACTGGGAGCCCCATCTCTGTCTCCAGCCACTCCCTCCAGCCTGTCATCTCTGAGACAGGCACATGTGAGGCATTGTCTTACGGGTGGACCATGCATGGCGATTCTGGGAGAGGGGGTCAGGCCAGTGTGCACTGTTGAGCGGCCAGGTCGAGAGGAAAGCAGGATGATTAGTTGATGGCATCTGGGTGGAAGAGAAGTAAGCAAGAAGACTCCTTGAGAGAAGCAGCCCTGGGCCCAGATGGAGATGTCTACAGCAGGAGGGTCCCTGGGGTTGTTCTGAGACGCTCTTGAACGTTTTAATGGGTGTTGAGGTCAGTGGAGGCAGCCCGAATCTATCAGGCCTGCTGAAGAACAGTGAGCCCAAGGCTGGCTCTCGGCTCCGAAAGCACAGCAGTGACCCCAGCTGCTCCTGCCTTTGGGAAGCCCTCAGCGGGCAGACAGACAGCATCGTGTAGTGGCAGTCACAAAAGAGGTGACATCTGTGTCCAGGATTGCAGGGCAGCTGCCGACTGGAGACACACCCCGGGGCTGGTATAGCACCTGCGTGGTAGACTAGGGTTGTGTGCACATTTGGCCCAGTTTGTAACATAGTGCCAGGTGCGCACCTGACCTCAGGGCCATATGTGCAGGGGAGTGACACCAAGAGTAACCGTAGTTTGCTGCTCAGATGGCTTCGCATAGGTGTTGGAAAGTAGGGACCCCCCCCCCACACACACACACATATCCTCTTTGTGCTTGGTTGGCCTCCTGCACCTCTACATGGGTCCCAGGAAGGGCTGACTGGTGGTGTCTGGCACAGGGTTTGGAGGACCAAGTCTAGGGTCAGGCAAGACTCAAGTCCATCCAGTCTGGACATCTTTTCCAACCTGGCAGTCTGCAGTGTGACCTGTAAGGGGCAGGCTGTGGATATACCCAGGAACCCCAACATACCAAGAAGTAGAAGCCAGGGCTGCCGAGATGTGGACGCTAGCACCTGCGCACTAGAAGTGTTCTGCGGCAAGCACCGCACTGCCTCCCTCCCTTTCCCAGCCTGCTCATGCCGGTTGTCATGGCAACCAGCTAGGCTCCCTGCCTAACTGAGGAGGGTGGGTGGTCAGAGCCAGACCTGCAGTGTGGGTGGGCATAGGGCTGAGTTCTTACACCCTGCTTCAGGATCACCATGGGGGTTTGGATCTGGTTTCCCCAGTGTGCCCTAGATTTTCTGCACAGTCTTGTTATGCCACCCCTGTTCTCAGCAGCCCATTTTGTCTTTGGCACTGATGAGCACTGGCATCTGTTTGTGTCCTCATCTATGCTGGTGGCCTCCTGTTGACATCCTCGGCGATCCTGGGGTAGAGATTACCCCAAACCTACTTAGAAACCAGAACTCGGGAGCAGCGAGGGTGTTTCTCTGGTCCTACAGTGTTTAGTCTTATATTTACTCTTTTGGGGTGTGTGTGTGTGTGTGTGTGTGTGTGTGTGTGTGTGTGTGTGTATCTCACTATATATGGCCTGGAACTCTATGTAGACCAGTCTTATATTTTCTTTTGGTAGCTTTTCTTGTGTGTGTGTGTGTGTGTTACTATGTAGCTTCGTCTGGCCTGGGATTCTGTATAGGCCAGGTCTCAAACTCAGAGATCTGCCTGCCTCTGCCTCCTGAGTCCTAGGATTAAAGATGGGTACCACCACATCCAGCTGGTAGCCTTTCTTGATTGTCATGTACATGCAAGGGTGTCTGGGTTGATGACCTTCTATGTGTGTGAGTGCTAGGGTCACCAGCCTTCAAGATCCAGAGATCCAACATGACTAGTATGCTCAAGGGACCTTGGCCTCCAGCCGCTCCCTCCCTGGGCTCAGCTGGACTTTCGCCACGGGTGGTTTTCCCCACCCTGAGCTAATGTGTGGCGCTGCAGTGTATCCTCTGGCTGCTTCTCAGTCCTTTACTCGGGAGCATGCCTGTTGACATAGGCGGCTGTAATTTTACTCGGGAGCATGCCTGTTGACATAGGCGGCTGTAATTTTTCAGTTTGGTTGTTGGGTGCTGTTGCTTGACTGTTCCCACCACCTGCTTGCTCCGCTGTGGGTGGGTGTCTGAGTGTTCCCTGCGTGTTCTAGTGACACATGAGCTACCCGTTCCGTTAGCCTGCTGACCTAACACAGGAGTGCAGTTGCGCTGTGGGTGTTCCCCACCCCGTGCTGAGCCAGTGGCACTGAACACCTGCCTGTGTGGCTTCTCCAGCCGGACAGTAAACAAGATGGGTGCCAAGCATGGAACAGTCAAGCAGGCAGTGGAGTGAGACAAGGCAGACAGTGTGGTGGCTCCTAGCTCGGAGTCGGGGTGATGTCCACAGCCACATGGACTATGGGAGACAAGAGCCCCACCCCTGTAGCACCCCTACAAGTAACCCCAGAGCTGCCCAGCAGAAGGTGACTGTTGCCTCTTGGAGCTGACCCTATAGGAACCCACCTGGGCCTACTTAGGATCTGGGCTCAGGACCCCTAGGGACAGCTTGCTTTCAAACCTGCTTTTGATGTCTTCTGCCTCTTCTGCCTGGAGTAGGGGTAGATGGGGCTCTGCTCTCTCTTTGATGAGTGTGTGGTATGTCTTCATCATCAGTTACGGTGGGATTAATGGTTCCTTTCTTGCAGATAAAAGGTTAGTAATTTGTAAAACATGTAGACTAGCCTCTGCTGCCCCCTGTGAGCCCAGTAGATGTCACTGTTACTGGGAACTTGGGAAATACGATGTCATAATTATAGAGAACTGGGGCTGGAAAGGAAGAAGAGTGGGCACTAGGGATGGGGTCTTTGTATGTTACCGTCTGCCTGGCACAGCAGTCAGGGAGTGGAGGCCCCGGTGGGCCCTAGGGTCTCACTCCATCCTGTGCTACAGGCCGAGGCCGAGCCTGAGGTGGAGGTGGAAGTATACCGGAGGGACTCCAAGAAGCTTCCAGGCCTGGGAGACCCTGACATCGACTGGGAAGAGAGTGTCTGCCTGAACCTCATCCTGCAGAAGGTATGGGGTGGGTGGTGATGGCTGATCATGGGTCTGGGAGACAGCAAGCCCCTGCCCCCCACAACACACATTACTGCATTCTCTTCTAGCTGGACTATATGGTGACCTGTGCTGTGTGCACACGTGCTGATGGAGGTGACATCCACATTCACAGGAAGAAATCCCAGGTGAGCCCCACCTCCCACTAGCTAGCTGTCCATACTCTCTAACTACCCGTTGCCTCTTCTAGTAAGACATCCCCCTTTCATGTTCCCTTCCCCGAGGTGAGGGGTTGACTCTAGGAGTCTCATCGTATGTATGCACCCGGCCTTCCCCATGGCTCCTGAAGAGGACATTCCCGGCTCTGAGCAGTGTGGTCTCCCAGCCGTATCTGAGATCACTTTTCCGTTGAGGCCGCCTTCTCAGCCCTTTCCTCCTGCTTCCCTTTTAGCAAGTGTTTGCATCCCCCAGCAAACACCCCATGGACAGCAAAGGAGAAGAGTCCAAGATGAGCTACCCCAACATCTTCTTCATGATTGACAGCTTCGAGGAGGTAAGTGCTCACCGCTGGCCACGTTCCCCTTCCTCTCCTCTTGGGGATCAGATGGGATGTCAGGCTGAGGACCTGCAAAGCCTCCCAGGAGATGTTGGTAGCAGGAGCAGGGGATGGTCACGGTGACAGCCAGTGGGGCTCCCCTCTTCACAGTGATTGACGTAGAAGTGCATTCTCCCTGCTATGGGCCTTGGTTTAGTCATCTGTAAAGCGGGTGTGACTCCGAGCGCGAGTGCAATCACAGTGAGTGCTGCCTGACAAGGAGTCATCCTCTGGTGCTCTGTGAGTGACTGCCTCTACCCTGTCAGTTCTATGGCCAAGCTTTTGTTTCAAGATTGGTAAAATGTGCTCCAGACACGTTAGCTCACCCGTACTGGGAGGAGCGGAGGAGGGAGCTGCCATTCCACTTCCTGCTTGTTTGCCAAGGCTGATGGTGGAGAGTTTGTGTGTGTGCGTGTGTGTGCGTGTGTGTGCGCGTGCTTGCCCAGAATCAGCCACGATTTTCTTGGAAGGCCCATGAAGTTGGGCATGCCTTTCAAGGTCCCCTTGGGCTCTGATGGTGTCTGAAAATACCCAAAGCACAGGAAGGAGATGGGGCCTCCCTGGGCTCACACTGCACGCGCATTTGCCCAGAGTCTCTCATCTGGAAGCTCATGTCTAACCGGCAGCTATTAGGAACAGCAGTTCAGGAATGTGGCAGGGTGTGGTCACACTGCCTGTGTTTGGGTGGTATTCTCCCAGGAAGGCAGTCACAATTAGTCACATTAGCTTGGACAGCCAAGCTCAGAAGAAGGTGGGCTGGACCAAGCTGTGATGAAGGAGGTCCCCAAGTGTCCCTAGAGTCCTTGTAACTTTAACTCAGCATTAGGAAGTCAGATAAGGGTCTTGCTGGTGGTTCAGCTTGGGGTGGAGTATGTTCCTACCTATGGCAAGGATTGGAGGTGGAACGGTGGACGGCGGGTGGCTGTGCACAGGTAGGATTGGAGGGGAGATGGTGGACGGCGGGTGGCTGTGCACAGGTAGGATTGGAGGGGAGATGGTGGACAGCAGGTGGCTGTGCACAGGTAGGATTGGAGGTGGGACGGTGGACGGCGGGTGGCTGTGCACAGGTAGGATTGGAGGGGAGATGGTGGACAGCAGGTGGCTGTGCACAGGTAGGATTGGAGGTGGGACGGTGGACGACGGGTGGCTGTGCACAGGTAGGATTGGAGGTGGGACGGTGGACGGCGGGTGGCTGTGCACAGGTAGGATTGGAGGTGGGACGGTGGACGGCGGGTGGCTGTGCACAGGTAGTTTGGCCTCTTCTCAGCGTCCTCTTCTGTAAAATTGAACCCCCTTTGTTTTTGTTCTTTCCTGTCCGTCCTTCCTTTCTCCTCCCCGATTCCCTTCCTCCTTTTCTTCCCCATCTTCCCTGTCTTGAGACACACTGTCCCTGTCCACCCCAGGCTGAGCTCAAAATACTGATCCTTCTGCCTCAGCCTCTGTAGTGCTAGGATTACAGCCTGCCCCATACTCAGTGATTTCAGCAGTCCTCCCGGCAGCCGGGTCGGGGGATGGTGTGGGTGGTGGCGCTGATGTTTGTTTGATATCCCCATTTCTTCCTCCCCACCCTCAGGTGTTCAGCGACATGACCGTGGGGGAAGGAGAGATGGTCTGTGTTGAGCTGGTGGCTAGCGACAAGACTAACACGTTCCAGGGTGTCATCTTTCAGGGGTCCATCCGCTACGAGGCGCTCAAGAAGGTGTACGACAACCGCGTGAGTGCAGGGCTGCGGGGGGGGGGGGGGTCCTGACCCTTCTTTCCTCACATGTCCCCCCAGGCCTGCTTTGCTGAGACCACCCCACAGCAGGGGGGTCCTGACCCTTCTTTCCTCACATGTCCCCCCCAGGCCTGCTTTGCTGAGACCACCCCACAGCAGGGCATCCGCTCCTCTGGGGCCCACAGTCTCTCCCTTCTGTCATGTTCTTCATCCCGGTCCACCTGTGTCTGTCTGAGGTGCGGGAGGGGGACTTCTCCTCCCACCCATGTCCCTGTGAGGTGCCAGCCAGTTGGTAAGGGATACTCACCCTAGTACTGGGGACACGCCCAGAATTGACCCCTGAGTAGTTTAGCAGGGACAGGAGTCCAGATGGACAGGCCACTCTCCTGCAGCTGGTGCTGTCTGGCCTGGGGTGAGTGCCCTGGTCAGTAGTGTGAGCGTTCAGGGCAGTGAGAACAGCCTTGGCCAGGGATCTGGAACACATGCCTGTTTGTTGGGCTCCCTGGCTTCCCTGTGGCTCAGACTCCCTCAAGATGGCCTCAGAGAAGGTAATACTGGCTGCTGTGTCTCTAGAGGGAGGGCCTGTGAAACTAACTGTTCCCACCTACCACAGGTGAGTGTGGCGGCCCGCATGGCCCAGAAGATGTCATTTGGCTTCTACAAGTACAACAACATGGAGTTTGTGCGCATGAAGGGGCCTCAGGGCAAGGGCCATGCTGAGATGGCAGTCAGTCGCGTGTCTACAGGCGACACATCCCCCTGTGGGACCGAAGAAGACTCAAGCCCAGCTTCGCCCATGCATGAGCGGGTAAGGGCTGCGCACTGCGGGAGGGACCTCCTGTCCCTTGGATTCTCTTCCCATGGCTCGTTCACCCCACAGCTCCCAGGTGAGGGAGCCCCCTCCACTGCTGATGAGGAACCTGAGGCCCTCAGAGGGGAGGTTCATACCCAGGCTGAGGTTGATTCTGCTTCCCTGAGCTGCTCTTCCCCGAGGCTGAGTCCCCAGGTCCCTAGGTCCAGGAAGAGAAAAAAGTTGACTAGGAAGTAGGCCTGGTGCCTGCCTCCTGGATCTGCTGGTCAGCCATGACCACACAGCCTTTCTGCCGTGAGCCAATAGGATGAGGAGGGGCGGAATCCTGGGTTGTCCCACAAGGACAGCCAGCAAGCACAAGGCTCGCTCTGGGCCTGGTCGTTTGTTATTCAGTCTGTTAACAGGGTACTCAATCTGTTAGCAGTATTCCCCGACAGGCGTAAGGATGCTGTCTGGGGTGCTGCCCCTGCCGCAGCTCTGAGGGCTCAGCATAGGGCCTCAACTCTTGCTTCCTTTGAGCTCTCTCAGTCCTCAGTGGGGAGCTGATGTCAGTGGCCATAGAGACCCCAGGCTCAGGCACGAGAAAGGCTCTGCCCATGGAATCAGAGCTGGGTGAGTGAGTCAGCCCTTGTCCAAGAGACCCAGGGCTCTGCTGCTCATGTGACCTTGGATGAGTCCCTTCCTTCCCTATGCTTCTGTTTCTCACTGGGCAGTGAGGGGTTTCCAGGAGCACTACTCATGCCTTATGTGGGGCTTGCCCCTGTGAAGTGTCCCAAGTGGCAGCCACAGTGGTTACTGTCTACAGTTGATGGGAGGAGACTTTCAAGAGCAGACAGTGCCTTCCCGACTGCTGTTTGCATTAGTTCCTGGGTGCCTCTTTTTCTTTCTTTTGGAATCTTCTATAATTAGTGTGTTTTATAAGCCAAACAAAGCCAAGTATGCTGGGATTTTGTGAAGTGTTGAACCTCAGGCAGGAGACCTCTCGTCTTTTTGGAATGGAGGTAGCTTGGACTCCGAGCTTCCAGGTGACAGCCTGATTCTGCCCAGTTCTGTTGCACTTGGACACTGAAAGGTGTGTGTGCACAGGTGTGCAGATATGGGCCCAGCTGGGCAACTCTGGGTGCCCACAGATGACCCACCCAAGCCTTGATCATCCCACCTACCAAGTGGGAGTGGCCATGAGGGATGAGATGGCCCCTAGCCATGCCCTTCATAGCAGGGAGGTGTGGACCCCTGGGGAGGAGTCGTGAGGTCACCACAGGACTCAAGTCCACTGCCCATGTACACACTGTTGCTTGTCTTCTTGTCCTTAGGGGTCACTTGTAACCAGTGTTCAAGAAATGCAGACTTGTGTGTATTGTGGTTTCTGGTATTTGTTTTGTTTTTATCTTTTAAAACCTTCCCTGACTTGAGGGAGGACCGTCTGGAGCCCAGCAGCCGCCGGGACTTTGGTGGATGTCGGAGCTATGACGAGGAGGCTGATGGGGCCCCGAAGTCTGGGTCCCAGCTCATCTTGCTGCTCTGATTCTTGTTTGCGTGGGGAGGAGGGAGGGGATGGGCCAAGTTCCCTATGCCTGGAACGCCCTTCCCCCCCTTCTTCACCTGGCGAACTCCTACTCGTCCTTCAAGACCCAGCTCACGCAGCACCTCCTCCAGGAAGCCTACTCTGATTTCACAGGCTGTCTGTCCCTCCTTCCACTGTTCCTTCCATGTCCTGTGCTTCCCTTTCTCTGTCTCAGTGACCAGCATGCAGTCTGTGAATGTCACTTGAGTCTGTCACCCCCAGCAGACTGTGAGCTCCTTGAGGGCAGGGGATCTCTGTCTTGTGCCTGTCTGTGCCCACCTTACCTCCAAGTGAGTGTGGAGAATGTTGGTGGCTGGGACTGAATGTGCTTGGAAGGGAGGAGAGGAGACACGGGGCAGAAAGCTGCTCGGTCTGGCGCTTGTGAGAGGGAAAGGTCCAGGGGGCGACTGGGCGTAGTCCCAGTGGCTTTAGGCAGGTCAAGGTGGCCGTTTGTGGGCCTTACCTGCTTGGATGTGAGATGGGCCCATGCAACATGGCAGTGCTTAAACCACACCCCGCAGCCCATCACCCGGCATTTGTCTTGAGATGTGGAAGTGAGGCCCCTCTGTCAGTGTTGGTGGCAGTCTGCTCCCTCCTTAGGCAGGTCCGGCTGCTGTGTGTGTGGCGAGCCCCCAGTGCCCAGCATCCCCCTCATCTAGGGCAGATGGCCCTCAGGCCATGGTCAGGGTCAGCAGCTATAACTACAGCCCCTGCTTGGGCTGGCTTTGATCCAGGTGGCTTTGGGGTCTCATGGCAGGGTCTGCTCCTGCTACACTTGTGACTTGGGCTCCTTGTTCCCAGGTGACCTCCTTTAGCACGCCGCCCACCCCGGAGCGAAACAACCGGCCCACCTTCTTCTCTCCGTCCCTCAAGAGGAAGGTGCCCCGGAACCGCATCGCGGAGATGAAGAAGTCACACTCGGCCAACGACAGTGAGGAGTTCTTCAGAGAGGACGACAGTGGAGGTGGCTAATGGTCCCTGCTCTGGCTGTGTCCTGTGCCTCCACCCCTCACCCAGTGTCGCTTAGAGAGCCGCATCAGGGGTAGAGTGCTGGCCCCAGGGCTGCGGTGAAGCTATGTGTAGATTGGGGGTCTGCATCTGAGCCCTGTTTTCACCCAGCTCATATTCAGAGGCTCTGGAACTTTCCGCTGACCTGGGTGCATACAAGGACTGTCTTGTTCTTCCTCTTCTGCTTCCTGGGCTAGCTCTCCTCATTCTAGAAACTTCTGTCCTGGGTGACCCGCAGGGTTTCTCTGTTACCTCTCGTGGTTTCCCGTGAGTCACGCTGACTCCCAGATCCTTCCTGTGGCCCCACCAATGACCTTCTGCCCAGAGGTCCCTGAAACCCTTGGTCCACCCACTCATCTGCTCTGTGTGCACAACCCCCTCCCCAGTGGTCAGTCACTGCCGGGGACTTGTACAGCCTGGAACGGGACTCTTCAGTCTTGGACCAGGAATGCTGGGGGTTGGTGGGTAAACTGGCCACTCCATCAGTTCTGGAGAAAATGGGGTTCAGGTAACAGGGGTGGGGGAAATGCCTAGCATCCCTCGTGAGCTGGTACCACGTCAGTTCTATGTTGTAGTGAGTGGCTGGAAGAGAAAAGACTTTACCAGGGTGAACCGTGAGTGCTTTCCAGGCCTGGCAGATGGGGGTGTGAGGGCCTGGAGCAGGGCGTTGGGGGTGTGGACATTGGTGGGGAGCATCTGTGAGTGTGGCATCAGTCCAGTGAGGCATAGGTCTCGTTAACCCTCCCCCACGCTCCCTGGCACAGACTGGGAGGCTGACCTGCCCTTCTTCCCTGCAGCTGACCTGCACAATGCCACCAACCTGCGGTCTCGATCCCTGTCGGGCACAGGACGGTCCCTGGTTGGGTCCTGGCTGAAGCTGAACAGAGCTGATGGAAACTTCCTTCTCTATGCACACTTGACCTACGTCACCTTGCCACTACATCGGATCTTAACAGGTACGTGAAGGCAGAGCCCTCCATGGCTTCCCTGCCCAGCTTTAGTGGGTTGTAGTTCCCATAGCCAGTGGCTTCCCTCCACGTGTCCCTGATGTCCTCACTGGCCCCTCTTCGAGTGGTCATGGGAGTGCAGGGTGGTGTTGGTATTTGGAGCCTGTGAGGCATGATCAGAGATGGTGGGTGTACAGGACAGCTGTGGCTCTCTCCCAAGAGTGTCCTCACCCTGCCTGCCCCCTCCTGTCATCCTAGACATCCTGGAAGTACGACAGAAACCCATCTTGATGACCTAGTGTGTGTGGAGCCTGCACGGAGCCCCGGCCCCGCCTGGCCCTGGGAATGCTGCCAAGTGCCTACCTGTCACCACCACGGGGGTCTTCTGTGACAAGCCAGCGCTGGAGCTACAGCCAGGCAGGGCCACTCGACTCCTGGGGCCAGGGCCGACTCCATGAACACCAGCCCAAACTGAAGTGCCTCGCCCTCCTCCTCTGCTGGCTCTGCTCTCACCCTGTCCTACACTCGGCCCCCTCAGCCCATCTCTGGAGAGTCTTCTGCTCCCAGAGGGCCAGAGACACCAAGAGGTCATAGAGAGCATGAGGGGCTGCCAGTTTCCAGAATGTTCTTAGACCTCCCGACCTCACCTCCCGTCCCCCTGCTGGGGCTCTGTGCCAGGCCACTGTCCACGCATCCTACACAAAGCCAGTTGAAGATTTTGTAAAGCAGTACTGACAAACTTCAGCTCGCGAGTCAGCCCCAACTTGCTCCCCCACAGTTACTTGCTGCAGTGGGTTCCAGCTGGGAGTCAGGGGACATGAGCTGTTTGTCGGCTGGGAATACCTCGCCCCATGCCCAGCTCAGAATGGGTCTCAAGCTCCAGCTGGGCAGACAGGCCCGATCCCCCAGAACGGCCTTCGCTTCCATCCAAAGAACACCGCCAACACACACACCTCTGACCCCGGGACGCAGATTTTGGTTCTGAAGCAATGTGGGAGGGAACTTGCGCTGAGGATGTCTGATGGGGACAGGGATTGGAATCCTCACAGGAAGGTGTCAGGTAGAACCACCCTGGGGCCAGAGCTCAGAGCGAGGCTGGTGCTGTCCTTTCTGCCCCGTGCTTGGTCAGCATGCTGGTCTTGTCCTCAGCCTGGCTTCCTAAGCAGAGGAGCAGACATTGTCCTCAGTGAGTGCAAATGGCCACAGGCCAGCCGCCCAGGGCTCCCCTGGCAGTGTGCTCTAGCTCAGGCCTCCACTACCCAACTGGAATGAACTGGAAGCTGGGCCCTGTAGTCGTTGGGTTTAGTGTCCCAGGTTCCGGAGAACTCAGCTGTGTATGTAGAGCTTGGCTCCTCTGGGCTGTAAAGCAGGCACAGGAGCACGGCTCCATTCCTTGGTCTCTGGGAGTGGGGACTACTTTGGGGCTTTCCCTAGATTTTGTATGTTGTTATTAAAAGCGAGCTATTGCATTTCATTCTGCCTCAGTTTGCCCACCTGTAAAATGGGGCTGATACCACCTACCTCACTGAAGTCTCCAGGGTTCAAGTGCATGGCTGAGTCTGGGCTAGACCACATGTCATTCTGCACAGCTCAGGCTGGGTCTTAGGAGTGGGTGTTAGGCGGCCTGCTCTGAAATAACTCCTTCCAAAGGGATGAGTAGTGGGTGAGTTTACACACTGATCTGCTGGAGCCTGGGGTCACGTTCTAATCTAACCATTGAAGCAGACTCCCAGCCTGCCCTAGAATGCAGAGTACCTCAGGTCTATGAGTGTGGTCCTGCAGTCTAGCATAACCATTTCTTCTGCAGATCCCATGAATGCCGATCCCATGTTTGTTTCTAGGGAGGTCATAGCATCCTGCCACTTCAGGACCCAGCCATTCTGGTGGTCTGTACACTCTGAACTTGCTATCTTGGGGGAAACAGAGCCAGGTGTGTCTTCTGTGGAAGACTGGGAGAGTCCTAGACCCACGGCAATCCCATGGCTTCTCTTTTCTGGCCTCACTCCCCCAGAGCTCAGCCGTGCTCTCTTGGCTGGGCTTGGGCAAGGCTGGCTTCTCAAAGCTGGGGTAACTGTGACAAGTGCTTCCCAGGCCATAGGAAAGTACAGAGTCTGTGTCATGCAACTTGGCTCTGTGCGGCACACAGAAATAACTGATATCCGCAGGCCCATTTCTAATGCTTCGGCACCACCATCCCTTTGTAGGAGGAAAGCACCCCAGAGAGTCTGAGCGAATTCAAAACTGAACCATGAGGAACAGTGGAAGGAGGCAAGCTTGTTCTGAGCCCCAGTCGCTGGGTACACAGCCAGACATTTGGTCAACCTTCAGCTTTCTCCAAAGGGCACTTTTGAGTTGCAAGCATGTTCAGAAGCTCTTGAAAACTGGGATAGAAGTCTGATGTTTACTTTTTCAAATAGCTGACATTGGTGGGCCAGACATGGTGGCACGTGTCTACAAATCACAATCCTGAGGCTGAGGGAGGACAGAGTTCTCAGCCAGCCTAGGCTACGTAGCAAGACCCCGTCTCAAAGTTTGAGAGTGACAAATGGCAGACGCACCCCCCAGAATCCTGGAGTTGATAGTTTGGCTTCTGAGGCCATCTTTAATTTTTTCCTGGGAACATGCCTGTCCTCATTCAACGTATTAGGACAATAAGGAGAAAGCGCTGTTCACTTTGCGTCCCTGTTTCTTCAGGCAATGTCCACCTTACCTCCTGAGATCTTGCTGGAATCCCAGCTGCCTCCACAAAGGCAGCCCAGGCTCATTTCCACTCCAAAAGCTTATTATTTAAAACATAAGCGAAAAATAAAATAAGCCAGGTGTGGTGGCACATGCCTTTAATCCCAGCACTTTGAAGGCAGAAGTAGGTGGATTTCTATGACTTCAAGGACAGCCTGGTCTATGTAGTGAGTTCAGGACAGCTAGGGCTACATAGTGAGACCCGGTCTCAAACAAAATATTTTCATTAAAAGGCACTCCAGCCCCTGTGTAGTGGGCCTATTTTACTAACTATATCTTTTTTTTTCTGGCAGTGTCATAAGTTTTAAGTTTTGCCCAAAACTCTGGATATAATGAGTTTTGATGATTTAGTCCAGTCCAGCTTCAAGATCCAAGTATCTTGGTAGCACATGGTTTCTCTGTTCAGGCTCACTCTCACCTCTGGATGGAGCTACCCTGAAAAGTAAATATAGGACCCAAAAGGACTAAGGGCTCTAAGGACACGAGCACGCAAGTGCCATGGGATGCGTCCCAGAAGTCACTAGCCCTGGCATCACCTGGATGGGCCTCAAGACCAAGTGTACAGATCTTAAGCTTGAACAGAAGTAGCCTTTTGGGGCATCTGTAATGGCCCTCCTGGGAAGTAGCCAAAATGCCTGTCCCTCTAGGTGAGGAGTGGCAGTACCTGAAAGGCCTTCACCGATGGGATTGTTGACATGGGCCTCCAGGCCTCTGCTTGCAACACCACACCAAGCTAAGTGACCTGACAAACCCGTAGCTGGGGTAGGGATCTGAGATCTGCGGCAGATATATTCCCGGAAGTGGAGGAAGCCATGGCCTGCTGACAGTTTGTGTTTACGGGTTTCTGTTTCCAAGGCTGTATGATTTCATGGTTCTTTGAGACACTGCCTTGCATTTCAGAGACATTTAAACTGTGTTTTCTTAGAAGTGCCCCCGACCTGTACCTGATTCTTTTAATAATACATGTTTCAGGTTAAGACAGACCATTAGCTACCAATAGGGTTTGTTTTGGTTTTGAGACAGTGTCTACATAGCCCAGGCTGGTTTCAAACTTCCTGTATTAGCAAAGGATGACCTCGATCTAACAGCTTTCTGCCTCCACCTCCACGTGCTGGGATTCCAGGCTTGCACCACTGTGCCTGGTGTTATGCAGTGTTGGTGGAACCTAGGGCTTTGTGCCCCTGGGCAGGCTCTCTTATCTGCTGGACTGCACCCCTCGGCCCTTTCTTAGCTTCTTTTGACTTCAGCCCCTTACTTTGTGTAGGTCAGGACACTTAGATGCAAATAGTAAATTTCCCTCTTCCAAAATTATCATAGGAGTAATTAAATGAATTCAGCAAAGCCATGAGTATATGAGCGTGTTAGTGTGGGGACTAACCCAACAGAATGCCTCTCAAGGGCTCTCAGGAGGCTTTGTGGCGGCTGTTGATTTTGCTTTATGACTTCCTGGTTCTTTGAGACACTGCTTTGCATTTAGAGACATTTAAAATGTTTTCTTACAAGTGCCCCCGACCTGTACCTGTTTCTTTTAATAATATCCATTTCAGGTTAAGACAAGACACTATAGCAAGTCAAGGGAATGGCCTTGATTTGCTGCAAGCATTGCCACAAGATACTGTTCTGAAATGGTTCCAGCTGGGGTTGACAGGCCACTCCATGCACTGGCTGTCCTGCTGGCTGCTGGTCTGTGAAGACCCTGTGAGGGGGGACAGTGACCATCCTGGCCAGAGGTGTAGGCATTTCCAAAGCTGATCACATTTGCCTTTTGGGCTCAATTCTGTGCTCCTATGAAATATACCCTGGCAGTGTTTGGACAGAAACCTCCCAAGCTTTTCTAAGAAAATCCCATAAAAACCCTTATATTAGTGGGAAGACAACTGGAATAGAAGCTGGGAACCTAGGGAGTTTAGGAAAGATCCCGGCAGGGACCATACTGTTCCTGTGGCCCAGCACCTCTGTGTCGGAGGGCTGCTGAGCAGGCACCTGCAGTCATCACAGGTTGAAAATATCACAGCTACATTTCATGCATAGGAAACATGCCAAATGGCTTCCTTATGTCACAAGGAATTGGGCCTAATATACTATATACATTGGAGATGGGAACTGCAGTGGAGGACGGGGTTCTGACAGGACATAGTAAGGAATCAGCTGCTACCCTAGAAACACAGGACCAGAATTTTCTTTTTTTTTTTTTTTTTTTGGTTTTTTCGAGACAGGGTTTCTCTGTGGCTTTGGAGCCTGTCCTGGAACTAGCTCTGTAGACCAGGCTGGCCTCGAACTCACAGAGATCCGCCTGCCTCTGCCTCCCGAGTGCTGGGATTAAAGGCGTGCGCCACCACTGCCCGGCAGGACCAGAATTTTCTGAATTGGTATCTCCAACTTGAAGGTGGTGGGAAGGAGGCGTCGGCTTAGCAGGTTGCTATCCACATCAACCCCTGGGTAGCCTCCCTCAGGAGATGCTTGGGAAGGCAGTTCTGCAAATCCATACCTTTTAGGAGCACCTGTCAGCCCTAGGTTGGAAGAAAATTCTCCCTGAAAAGGACAACCTTGCAGAACATATGGAAAAAAGAGCAATGTAAAATAATGCACTCCTTGTAGCTCATTGTATATACCATGTCACCTGGAAACATCGGACTTTGTGCTTGTTAAAGGTGACAGAAAGCTGGGAGAGGAAGGGGAAGCGTGCTTGGGGGGTGGGCGATGAAGGAAAGGGCCCTGATCTTACACTGTCACTCACTTGCCTCCTACAGCCTCATGTAAGCCAGCGGGCTATCAAGACTCTTCTTTATGTGGATGGCTCTTTCATTTTGGAATTTGACTTTAATAAAGCAATTAGGTTGCTCAGTTTGAAATAACCATTGTTTCTGGTGAGCTTTGATTATATTTTGAATAAACAATTTTACTCCAGATTTAAGCCAATTCCAGAAACCACTGAAGTTGAGTGATTCAAGGGGTACACTGGAAAGGGCCATGTAGACCTGACCCCTCAGCAAGCCATGTCACAAAACCCAGAGCCTGAGGCTTTTCAAAGGTAAACCTAGTACACCCATCCCTTCAGGGTCCCTGACAATGACATTAGACAAGGACATGCAGTTCTGGGAATGCTGGTGCTCACTGCCATTTCCTCTTGGGATGTGCTCATGGGTATTTCATTTCATGGCCATACCTGGAATGACGGGGGGGGGGGGGGGGGGGCACTTGCCAGCCAGTGGAGCTCAAGCACGGCTGTGCACCAGTCCTGTTCACACATGGTGTGATTGTACAAACCACTAACTATATCAAATAAAGACTTAGTCCAAGGTCTGCTTCAGAGGTTTTAGGATGGTAGCCCCCAAAGGTGTCAGTTCTACAAAGTCTGTGGGAGCCCCAGGGCCACACTGGGAACCCACACCAGATCAGCCAGTCTCCCCAATGACTCAGGTACAATCTTACCCTTCAGGAGGCACCTGTCACTTAGGAATCTCAGCTCAGAACCCTGGGGATTTCAGAATCTGAACACAGCTCTAACACATCACTGAATGGACTAGAATTCAGTGTTACTTCTGTAGAAGGCTACCCCTCCCCCCCAGCTCTAGTCTGAGGCTGGACACTGCCCAGCACAAGACTCTGTACCCCACTGTAATTCAATGCAGGCTGCTCGTCAGCTCTCCTTGGCAGCCCCCACTTCAGAGATGTTTCTGTACACTACCACCATGAGCTTCTTCTTCCACTGATCTGCCAAGAGTATCACAGAAACAAAACTGTCAAAGGCCCAGTTTTTAACGTTCCATTTATTCACATTTCATGGATTGTTACACTTCCTCACAGGCCCATTCAAAAGCTCACACACACTGAGATTATACTGTCTGACAATTCAAGTATTTTAGCTTTAGAAAACAATTTCCTCTTTCAGGTAAAAAGCAGATTATTCTATGTGATTGTTAAGAAGTCTTACATCCCCTTTACAAATCTGTTTGCATAGAGGACAGTCCTCAGTTTTGCAATTGCTTCTGGAGAGCACATGGTGGCCTTGTGCAGAGCGTGGGGCTAGAAGATGCCTTGAAGAGCTCCCAACTTCACCTACGAGTAACAGAACAGGTCATTTCCTTAAAAATCCCACTTCCGGAATTAGACTTGGTCTGAGCAGGTAGTCTGTAGCCTAAAGGGGGCTATTTCTCATCTTCAGAAATAGTAATATAATGAACAAACTGGCAAGAACAGACTCCTTAACCTTCAAAAGGTAGAGGAGGCTCTCAGGGAAAACCCTGACAAGGTAGAATTTTCCCCTACGCTGCAGCAGGTATTATTTTTGGCACGCAGCATGTAAAAAATAGGATTTAGAACTGAAACTGTAGAACAGAAATCAGCCCATCAGCAGTCGGACCTGTTGCTGACACAGTCACGGTCTATACAGTGTGGCTCTCTGAAGAAGACCGCGCAGGGCTGAAACTTTGCTGACTGGGAATGTGCGGAAGTGTGATATACAGTGTGGGAAGGCCCAGGCTCGGAGTCTGCACCCTCACCATAGAGAACACACACTTCCTCAGGGAAATTTTCAAACTAGAGATAAAAACCTCAATTCACATTAAACACACAATAGGTAAATTTATAACACATTAAAACATCAATGAAGTTTAAGCCATGGAACCAGCGACTAACACAATGGAGGGAGAACGGAGAGCCCTCCAGGGGCCTCCTCTGACAGACTTCATAGTGACTCACACTTGGGTGAAGTGCAGAATGCTGAGCGAGCTCCTAAAGCATAAAGACAAGACACACTGAGTTCTGGTCACACCACCTCTCCCCTGTAATTCTCGCTTCCAAAAGTGATAGTCTTAGCAGCAAATGTGCTGGGAATGTTAGGAAAAGGGAAGCCAGACTCACTAATTTACAATTAAAATGGACTACGGAGCTTAGAAGGCAATCCAGTCGCAACCTTTTTTGCTTATATTCTTTTGGTAAATATGCAAGGCTTGGGCAGATGCTCATGGAGCATCACCACCATGAATAGACAAGTTCCTGAAAGTGCCTGAGAGTCTGACACCGGTCAGCCCCATGGGCATGTGGCTACACGGTACTGTCTGAAATGCGTTCCCCTCATTTCATCTTTGGAAAGCTGGGCAAACCCAATGTGAACAGAGCAAGGCCAGTGATAACAGAAGTAGCAAATTGCTTGCTAGAAACCAATTCTCAATGCTAAATGGCAAATAAATGCACAGCACCTCCCCAGGTTCACACCCCCCCCCCCCCAAGCACAAGCAGGCCATCTGCAGACATGTGCCAACCCGTTGAGCAGAGGTGTGACGTGATAAATCCTATCCTGCCCCCAGGCAGAGGCAGGCGGATCTCTGAGTTCAAGGTTAGCCATGGCTACCTAAATAAAAGTTAATTAGGTTTCATTCTCACTCACAGCAGTGCAGTTTTGAGAGAGCAACTGTGATGTCAGGTTTCGTGACTCTGCCCAGGTCAGAGCACTGTCTATTTATTGACTAGCTGAGCACTCTGGCACCCTGGGCACTGACCCTGAGCCTTCAGAAAAGATCTGGTCCTAGTGATGAATGGTTTTATGAGGAATCAGAGTGCAACTTCATTCAATCTCTCTCTTTTTTGAAGGGCGGGGGGGGGGGGGGGGGAGCTACTAGGTAACTCAGGCTGCTGTGAACTCAAACATCTTCCTGCCTTGGCTTCTCCAGCACTGGGATTACCAGCTAGGCAACAAAGCTTGCATTTAATTGAAGTCTGGTCTTCAGAGAATACAAGTATTAGTAACCTTCACTGCTCTGTAGTGACATGAATGGCCCGCACAGAACCATGGTTCTATTCCAAATGGACACACTCAGTACCTCATCCTTAAAAAAAAAAAATAAACAAGTTTTCAGATGCCAAGTACCATGCTGCAGTCTGAAGCTGTAAGACAAACAGGCAAACGCCACTCCCACACTCTTCTTTTGAGTGCACGGTTCCTGAGAGGACTCCATTCAGACTGTGCCCACGGGGCTCACCAGGGCAAAAACGGCCATGAGCACACATCCTCTTTCAACTTTTTTTCTTTTAAAATAAAGGCTTATTTGTGGTATAGAAATGATATTTAAAAAGTCACCAAATTTGTGCTTTTAAAATCCATTATTCCTGACATCCCCTTCCACATTAACTGAGGAGGGTAAAGAAAGAGCACCTCCTGGATAAAAACGACAAAACCCAATCTACACTGCCAGCTCCCAACGAGCCACTCATGTCCTTTCCATGAAAAGGCAGTTCCTAGATCAGTCAAGCAGCCCCAGGTCAGAGGCCATCACCTGCCAACAGGCTGATGACAGAGACATCTTACCCACAGTTCAGCATGGTCACAGTGTGGCGGCGTGGCGTTTGGCAGGAGTGCTTATCACGGATCAGATAAGCCCACAGGAGGGGAGCAGATGGGTGTCATCTGGGGTGCTGTGGGACACTGCCATGGGTCTCCTGGGGCAGTCAAGAGAGCAGAGCCCACAGCTGCCTGCAGGAGCCTTTGGAGTGTTAACTGGTACCCTGACTGCAGTCCACTAAGAATCACTTCGGTTAGTTTACTCAATGAACCAACATTAAAAAAATCTTCCCAAATTTTTCACTTGAATGTATTTTGCTTAGTTTTCAGGAAGGGAAAAGAGCTGACACACCCAGGTTTTATTGGCCTTAATCTTCCTCACAGAAGTTTCCCGTTACCTAGAAGTTCTCAGAATGTTACAGTAAGAAGAAGAAAGAATGTGACTAAGTTTGGGGGCAGAGGAGAAGCAGCAATGTGGCTGTAACATCCCTTGGTCGGCTTCAGTGCTCAGGCACCCTTCTTCTGCAGTAAGATCTTGTGTAGTTCATCTGCATCCTCACTCGTCTTCACCCGAATCAGCATGGTGACTGGGACTGTGGGTTGCTTCTCATCAAGTGGGGGGTTGGGGACACAGACAATGAGGACATTGTTTTTCCCTGTTCGGGTGCATGGCATATTGGGTGGAATCAGAACATTCAGCAGTATGTTGCCTTTAAATAAACAAAGGAAAATATTTATCAAAACAACATAGAAAAACAAATGTATCAATACTGTAGGATTCTTTCAGAGGCTAAAGATTCAACAATGAAACAACTTCTCAATGTGTTAAAAGTTATGGCCAGAAAGGCTTTCATTTTCCTATATGCTGGGGTGTGACAAGCAAGAGGGGAGCTGGGGCTGACAGGCACATTCCGCCACAATCTCCCAGGCAGGAGCCTGTTCAAAGCAGCACTGGCTTGCCCAGATCTTCATCATTTCATGGAACTTTGGATGAGTGGTCGGCAAAGATACGGTGCTTCTCACCAGCACTGCTCACCAGGCCAGAATGACATTATGGTGATTCTGCCATAGCTAGTCAAGTCCTAAGAGAGAGAACCCCAGGAGTCTTTTGGTGCTGCCCGGCAATCTCCCACTACTGACCACACATCACAGGCTCACCGCTATCACAGCTATTCTTCTAAAGGACTGTGGCAAGGATCAGCTTGAGTGGGGTAAAGGGGACATTCTTGTTCTAGAAAGATTCCCAGGGCTGGAGAGATGGTCCCATTGCTAAGCACGCAACACAAGGACGAATTCCAATTCTCAGAACACATGCTAAAAGCTGGGGAGAGCAGCACATTCCTGTAATCTTAGCTTAGAGAAGGGGTGTGGGGGGGGGGGTAGGAATGAGGGCTGTGGCACAAACAGGTAGATCCCTGAAACTCACTGGCCAGCCAGCCAAGCCAAAATCAGTGAGCTTCAGGTTTAGTGAGATCCTGTCCCAAAAATAAAGGTAGAAATTGACTGAGGAATGAGACCTAAAAACCTTGGGCCTTTACCTACAAATCCTTCCTCCCACAAAGACCCCCGTAAACTGAAACCTGTATATTTCTCCTTTGTATTCATCAAACTGTCCCACATACATGCCACTCGTCACACTCCAGCATATGGAAATGAAACCCTTTGTGGTACTTTTCTACTATAGCTTTTAACAATACACCTATACTGTGTACACAATGTTCCAGACAGTAAAAACCACACACATATTAGTAACCAGAAGATAAATCTGACCTCATGATCACTTTCATAAGACATAACAAACCCCTCATTATTGAGCTTCAAAATCCAAAGAACCAGAGTCAAGGCAAAACTCTCTACAGGAACTGTGATGGTTGTGCACCCACCTAGGTTGGTGTCTGCCCGCACCAAGAGCTGAGTCTTCTGATTGGCCGTGGGTTTTAAATGCAAGGTTCCCATTCCCTTCTCTTTAAATTCATTGTCTTTCTTGTAAAATAGTTTACACCTGTGGAAAAACAACAGTTATGATCAGATAGTCAACAAGTTAGCTTGCTGATAACCATTGCTTACCTTCCTGAAAGCCAACTGCAGTGGCTAAAAGAATAAACCCTTCTTTACCAGATTGATGGTATCTGAGTTTAAAAACCAAACAGTTATTCTACAATTTACCCCATACACAGACCTTTCTGTGTAGTGCGGGCATGGAATCCAGGATCTTGGGCATGCTACACAAACTCTGCTAAACACAGTCCCCTCCAAACCCTTTTAATACCAGAGGCCACCTTTCCTTAGTCAGTCAACATCTCAGCTGATCCACTTCTCTGCCCTCTTTCAAATCATGTGTCTTGGTCCTGCGTGGCAGAGCAGACTGGCCCTTTAAGGACAGGTACAGACATAGCAGTCTGTCCTACTTCTCTCCCACCTTGCTTTCCCCTTTTTATTTTTTCAAATTTTCTTCTGACCTTCCATTTTTGATCCCCTAAGATACTGAGAAAATCTGGGATAAGCTGTGACTATGAATAAAGTAGTGTGCTGTTTTCCTAGCCAGTATGTTAAACGCAGATACTTAGGTTATTAAGAAAAAGTGGCCAGAGGCAGGTGGGTCTGTAAATTCAAGGTCAGTCAAGGCCACTAATTTAGAGGACCCCCCCACTCAAAGCAAACACAAACAACAAAAAGGCTATATTATGCCATCTGGTAGTGGCACACGCCTTTAATCCCAGCACTTGAGAGGAAGAGGCAGACTGATCTCTGTGAGTTGGAGGCCAGAGTGAGTTCCAGGAAGACCAGGACTATACAGAGAAACTCTTGCCTTGAAAAAAACAAAAATAACCAAACAGGCCAATCATTCTTCCCTGTTGCAGCTCAGAGTGTGGCTGGAGGGCAGCCCCAGCACACTCACTTTTTGGAGTAGAAAGCATCGTCCTCCTTCACTTCAGTCACCACCACCTTGGGCGGCTCATCATCCTCTTCTTCATCGCCACCTGGCACAGAAACAACTTAGTCAGCGACGCTTGTTCCCCACCCTGAACATCATCCAGGAATATCCATGGAAGCTGGTAAATAAGACTGTGAACACCTTACTGTTTTGCGGGAAGAGGTGCCAGCTGGATTTTATTTTGTGAAATTTTAAATTTATTTATTGTGTGTGTACCTTGTAGGGTTTGGTTCTTTCCTTCTACCATGATGCTTCCTGAAATAAAACTCAGGCCATCAGGCTGGGAGGCAAAAACCTTTACCTGCTGAGCCCGTCTCACCAGACGTAATAATATTTAATGGTAAGCCATTTCTATTATAAAATTACATCCAATTTGTAGGAAACTCTAGAATAAAAACCATTCTTGCTTATGACATTCACCAAAACACACTTAAGTATAAAATTATACATACTCAGGTTGCCCAGTGGAGAATCTAACCTAAAAAGAGCACCCAACACCATCCTTGCCAATATTCTTGTGTCCAGAGCCACACTGTGCTCAGGGATAACCAGCATCAGCAATGGCCAAAAGGGCAAAAGTGATTGTTTTACAGGTCAAGCTTGTTAGAGAAGCTGCTGCAAAGCTTTGACTAAACTGTCACAGAGCTCAAGGGTCTTGCACTACAGGAACCTGGCTCACTGACAGCAGGAAGGGCACATTCTTCCAATAAAGCTTCAGCCACAGGGGGTACTGAGACACTGCTGACACACAAACAGGAAGGACACCCTCAAAAGAAAGGCAGCCGTGTAAAACCTGCCAGACTAAAGCAATACTGAGGACTTGGATCCCAAGATTGAACTAAAGACCATGAGGATCTATCTCCTGGCACGCTTCAAATTGATTACTCAGCTGAGCCTCCCAGGACTGGGGAAGTTTCAACAAATTCCAAGTCTTTCTAATGGTAACCACAAGATGGCAACAGTGTCGGATGGTGCAGTGTGCAGGATAGGGCATGAGACAGCTGCCTATGATGGGGAGACTCTCTTATTTAGAGGCGGAGGAGAAATAAAAGGGGGTCACTTGGGGCTGGAGATACGGCTCAGAGCATTGCCTGCTCTTCCAGAGGTCCTGAGTTTAATTCCCAGCAACCACATGGTGGCTCACAACCATCTGTAATGAGATCTGGTGCCCTCTTCTGACATAATAAATGAATCTTTTTTTTAAAAAAGGAGGGAGGTGGTGCTTATTGGACCATCTACCCTGAGGGCCTGTGCATACACTAAAGAGGAGTTCAGACAAGGAGCACTGGTGGCTGGCCCAGGTTGGACAGCAGTGGTGCAGTCAAACATACGTATGCTCCCCTGGAGAACAGCACATTACCATGCGTCCTTGATGACTCAGTGGTAGGGCCTACTCCAAGAGCAGAGGAAGTCAAGGGGCTGGCTGGGACTTGGTCCCTAGGTTTGACTTTACCCAAGGCTCAGGCACCCCAGCAGAACTGTCACCCAGAGGATGCAATGCAGCCTTCTGGAGGGAAGGCCACATCCATACCTGAGGGGAACGCTGGCTTTGTTCTGTTGCCATGGAAAGTAGCCAACCCTATTATGTCATCCTCACAATTATTTTTACTATTTGTTTACTTGTACTGATTTCCTTATATCTTTGTATTATTTACACATTTGTGAGTGTATGTGCACATGTGTGTGCAGGAGCCTGCAGAAGTCAGAAGAATTCTACAGCTGGAAACTAAACTTGGGTTCTATGGGTCCTATGGAATAGCAAGGAGAGCTCTTAACAGCCCCACATTTTTATATTTTGGACATCAGGGCCATCAGCTGTTCAGCTTCGAGATGTCCCCTCTGTTCCACAGGCATCTCCACTGCCGACTGTGTTCTTGGATGTCCAGAGGCTTTTAGGCTTCATGCAATTGCTTCTCTCGTTTTACTTCTGCTGTGGCCTCAGGTCATCCAACGTTGTTCTTGTCGTCGTCTCCCCTCCCTCAGACATGTTCTAGTGGAAGGTTCTCATTTACACAGAGGGACATTTAACTATTTAAAACACTTAACTAGTTCTATCAAAAATTAGAAACTTGCTGGCTGTGGTGGCGGCTCACAACTTTAATCACAGCACTTGGAAGATAGAAGCTGGAAGATCCCTGTGAGTTCAAGGGCAGCTTGGTCTACCTTAGCAAGCTCTTGGACAGCCAGGGATACATAAAGAAAAACAAAAACAAAATCCCTGCCCCTGAAAATTAGAAATGTAATCCCTCAGCACCACTAGTCCCAATGCAAGTACCCACTGCCTAGGAATGGCTCGTGACCAACACACTGTACAGCGCACACAGTAGGCATACCTATCATTTTAGAAAGTGTTACTGAATGAACTAACTGGTCCTGTGTTATGAAGAACAAACATGAGCACTGCGGGTACCAAATCTCAGAAGAAACCCTGCAACTGTGCCCATCGCCAAGACCTGACACACTGGGTACAAAAGGCCCAAGGACACTAGTGTGATTCACAACAGCAGAGCCTTCCTTCGGGGTTGAGTGACCCTCCTTTTTAGCAGGTCTGGCCCCAACATTAATTAATTTAGCAGGTCTAAATACAGTCAACTCCAATGGGCATTGATGTTGAGCTTTTTCAGTACAATGTCAACTTTTCAAACTGTTTTTAATCTGCTGCTTCTATACACAGCACCACTTGCCCAGCGCTTTCCAGTCAGCACGATAGAACTTCAGCCTGCTCTGCAGCCACCTGTTCACAGCCCTTCACTACGCACCTGGAGCCCCACCCACCTCATGAAGACAGAGGCTATGCTGCTGGAGCACACCACGTCACCTCTCTCCTGAAGAACCACACCCTCTGGGAGCTTTGAACACCCTATAAAACAGGCCTTGCTCTACTTTAAGGATAAGGATGAAGCAACCGTGACACACACAGAAAATGGAGCGACGTTCTCATTAGAGCTGCACATACATGAACCAGTGGCTTTGTATTTACCTCTGCATTCACTGCTGCTGCCTCCTGCTTGACTCTCTGATGCAGAAAATGGTGAAGAGGCAGCTTTACTTTGGGCAGATAAACTAGAGTTTCCAGGGGAGAATGAAAACCCAGTCAGGGAGCCAGAACTTAAGGAGCCCAAAACTGAGCTCTCAATTTTCTTGCCGAAATTGAATGAGGCACTTGTTGCTCCTTGTGCTATGTCTGACTTCTTTTCTGCTGTAAACTCCACCTTTGCAGAAGTGTCCTCTGCTTTGTTGTCACGAAACGGAAACGGTGACTCTTGCTGTGGTTTTGCTGAACTGAGAAGAGAGGGGGGCTGCATGCCAGTCGCTGCCCTATCAGTCTGGCTCTCAGGACTGCTCCTGCCTCCATTCTCAAGTTGCCTCTCAATCGTTGCCAAGTATCTCTCATAGTCCTTAAAAATGGGCGTCAGGTCACAAAGTGGGTTGGTATTCACGTGCTTCACTATCCAGTCCCGGACAGAGCAGTTCAAGCCAGCCAACTGCTTGTGATAAGTATTCCCAGTGCAGGCTGTACTGGAAGCGGGGCCAGAGGACAGCTGATTGCTGCTATTACATTGCTGCTTATCAACCAAGGTAGTAGGACCATTCACAGCAAAAGAACCTGTAAGAAGGTAAAGTCCAAACACTTTAAAAGCAGTTTGATCAAACCACCTAGGGGTTACATGTTTTTCCTGTGTTTAGACAGAGTCTTGCTATGTAGGCCCAGACAAGCTGGAACTCACCACTCTGCTTCAACTTCTTGAGCAGGGACAACAGGAGTGTGCCACCAGGCTCAGCTACAACTAGGTTTTTGTACGGCTATTATCATGCTCTGCTTTCCCTGCTACTGTTCACCAAGCTTGTATCATAAACCAATGCTGAATGCAGAAGTTCATTCTGCTTAGTAAGGACTAAACAGGCGAGTGGGTGCCTGCAGGAGGATCCAGAGTTCAAAGTTATTCTCACTACCCAGCTAAAGGCCAGCCTGAATTTCTGTAGCTGAGCTGAAAACCCATCTCAAACCCACAAACACCAGGCAGCATATACTTTTAGAGCCAGTTCTCTATGTGAGTCCCAGAAGTTGCTGACTAGCTCATCCAAATCAGGACTGGGTATTCAGTATTCACTCTTATTTCCACAGGAGAAGAAAAGCTATGGATACCATAAAAATTAATAAACATTTGGTCTGAAAAAGAGAAACCTCTTGAGAAAGAGAAGTAACAGCTCAATCCACAGAGGTGACAATCACACAGGTGGTAAGGAAACCTCATAAGGGTTGGGGCAAAGTTCTGTTCTTGTCTGCAGAAAAATACTCATCTTCAGAATATCAGAGATCTTGGACATCTAGATGCCTAAAGGAAAAAAGATAACTATCCAGAAAGGATCTCCAAGAGAAGAGAAATCTGACTTCTGATGACATATCTGCAGGGTAAAATTTCATTACCTGAACACATATATATCTCTACTTAAAAATTAAAGCTGACTTTGAAGTTGGACAATGGCTATCCTTCTCTAAATCCAAGCATGTTGTTAAAAGAAAAATTCAGAGTTTCTGTCTCATATCAGGAGCCATCTGGCATGGGACAGAAAGAAGAAAGAATTTAGGAAAGATTTTACCTCATAAATATTTTTGTCTCTATCATACCTTTCACTGAATATATGTCTATATTATATTTAAATTTTCTACAATGCACAATGAGGTAAAGTAAAATAACTGGGGAGCTGAGAACAGAATCGCTGTGTGCTGGTGCAAAGGTGTGTTCTGCTGGCCCACTTGCTCCATGCATCTCCCTGAGTCTCATCCTTTTATGCTGCCTGAGGACACAGTGCTAGAAACATTTCCCCAGCTAGGTCTGATAGCATACACCTACAGTATCCCAGTATTCAGAAGGGTGGAAGAGGAGAACGGGATTCAAGATCAGCCTGGGCCAAAGACAAAAAAAAATAAACAACCTGGTAGCAGAGTTCTCTTTCAGCATCTATTTCAGAGGGAGACGGAGAGGGAGGGCTACTCACCAAATGCTGCCTTGGGCTCCACTGCTGCTGCCTTTGAGCTGGAGAAGGGTGTGGCACTGGCTGTGCTGTTTCCATTTGTCAGTCCTTCCAGAGGCTTCCCTCCAGCGCCACTACCAAATCCAGAAAACCCTCCTCCTCCTCCAGAAGGCACAACCAAACCTTTAAAACCTTTAAAGGCTCCTCCACTATCAGACTGAAATATAAAGAAAGCACATTTTAGACAGGTAGACCTCCCACCCTCAAATAAGTGACAACAGGATCTCAGAAAGAGCACAGAGCTCAGAAGTGGTGGCTCTGCCCCTAAGAGAAGCTACTAACAAAGCCCAGACAGGAGCGAGGGAGAGGCAGTGCTTCTAAGGACAAGCTCTCACAGTTGCCTTCCTAGAATAGCCAGGAGAGATGGTCGCAATCGCTAGATCTGTATTTAAAGGCATTGCATATATTCAAACATTACATATTCATGTACCTGCCACTGAGCTCCAGAATAACTGGAAATATTCCCAATACAATTAAACCTCATGCATCTTTTTCAAAGAGCATTCGCCTAAAAAAGCTCTAGAAATACAAAATTAGATTAATTAAAAATTTCACTGTTTACCTAATTTCTCAAGAATTTTGGGTTTCCAAGCTATTCTCAGCCTACAGAAATCTGAGGAGACCACACTGCAGACTCCAGCCTTTTTACTGTTAAGCAACCCAGTGCAGTATCTGTCTTTTCCTTCCTGCTTCCTTATTTCTGTCTTTAGTAAGCTCTTCCCTTGGCTAGCCTGTTCAGTCAGCAGAGATGCTGTGAAATTTACATTCCTTATGAAATTTGACACAGATTCAGACACACACACATAGCTAAACCTTCTTAATTTCCTAGACAGTCCATGTTCTGGTTGGTTTTTGTCAATTTGACACAAGCTAGAGTCATCTGGAAAAAGGAACCCCAACTGAGAGAATGCCTCCTATAGGCAAGTCTGTGATTCATCTTCTTGATTAAATTAGCAAGACACCAAAGCTGCAAGAAGCACTCACTTCAAATCCAACGTTCCTACGCTTTGCCTTCTTAATGGCTCTATTCTTCAAGACTTCCTCACTGGCCACTGAGAATGTTCCCACCTGCAAGAATAGACAAATTAGCAGAAAAGTAAGTGCAAAAGAGGATTAAAAGCTAAATATAAATACCAGAACAGACACGTTTATGTGGTATTGATGATCTTAAGAGTTGACTGCTAACACATTAAGAAATAGCTCACATCTAATATCTACAGATTTCTGTAGATTTTAATTCTAGTCAGGTGTTATGAATCTTTTGCAATCTACAAATCCATACTTTGAGTTCCAACCCAGAGATAGAAATGTGATTTCTGAAAAGATAAACACCACTGCATGTCTGGTGCGCTAATGGTCATGGCTGGTTTCCTCACATCTTAGACATATAGTCCTTAAAAAAAGGGGGGGGGGGGGCACTAACAAGGTCACAGTAAAATTTTCTATCAACAAGACATAAGAGCTACCATCCAAAAGCTCCTGATCGGTAGACAGTGAAACCAGGAGCCTGAACCTTACTATTACATTTTTAAAAACATTAAGTTGAAAGTGGGGCAGTAGTGATACATTCCTTTATTTTATTTTATTTTTTGAGTGTGAAGTTTATTGAGAAAAAGGAAATGGGAAGGGGAGAATGAGAGAGACAGAGAGACTGAGAGATGTCTCCTCAGAGAGAATGGCAGAAAGTAAGAGAGTGGGAGTAGGCAGGGTTTGTCTCCAGCACACCCCTTTAATCCCAGCACTTGGGAGGCAGAGGCAGGTGGATCTCTGTGAGTTTGAGGCCAGCCTGGTCTACAAAGCCAAGTTCCAGGACAGTCAGAGCTGTTACACAGAGAAACCCTGTCTTGAAAAAGAGAAAAACCCAAAGCAACAAAAACCAAACCAAAACAAAAGCTGACACAGATAGCATCCACTTTTTCTTTAGAGACTGGGATCCTGCACGTGCTAAGCTCTACAACTGAGCCACAGCCTTCGCTCACTGTTTTGGAGAGCAGTCCTGGTCCTGCCCACCTTACCACGGTCACAATGACCCTAGCCAACCATAGCTCTTCACCGTGTGATGAATGTGCTGAAAGTTTTATCTCATCGATTCTCTCACCTATAGGGTAGAACTAACTAGTTCCTGTACAAAATTCTCATCCAGCTAGGTGTGTCAGCTCCAATCAATTAGCTCCTACACATAGCAGGCTGAGACAGCAGGACTGATAGACAGTTCTGGTCCAGCATGAATTACAAAGTGGGACTATCTCAAAAACAAAAGTACCCTCATCTACAGATATTTCGGATTGTGTCAACATTAAAAAGGACCTCCATACCCAGAACAAAGACCATTTGGCTATATTTGCCCAATTAATCTAATTGATTTCCATACTCACTCAGTAGATCCTGTTGAGTTTTTTCACTATTAGACACTTTAGTGTCAAAACAAACAATTATATGGCAGTGTATAGCTTGTTCCACCCAAAGGCTGTGCTTAAGACCAAAGACTTGATTAAAGACCAAGTCAGTTAAAGGTCCTGAAAAATATTAACTTCCCAGTGGTTTGCTTTCCTAAACATATCAGTATCAAAAAGGAAGACCCCATGAATAAAGCTGCAAAACACTGTTTATGCAAAACACTGTTTATGCTCCGTTCCTTTTCCCCTTACCACCTAGCTGTGTGCTATAGAGCTGGAGTTAGCTTTGCTACAAATTTTCTTAGTGAACTGGCCTACAAGTATTAACTTGCACAAGAGACCTAAAACTGCAAAGATTTCCTCACAAAAGACAACTTTAATTTTGCTAGCAAAGAAACTACAACACTGATAGAAATTCTAGTCCAATCAGTGCAACTGCTGGGGCGCAGAGCTAGGATCTGAACAGCAAACAGTGGGCATGAGAAACACAGGAGCGAGGGGGAGCATGGAGAGAGCAGACTGAGGTGAGAACTACAGACTGCTAATTCCATGACTAAAACACACGAAACCACAGCAAAGGATGCTGCAAATGTCTGATTTCTGCAGGAAGATACTTCTCCACACTCATCAGGAGCACACACTAGGAGAAAAGCACAGTCACATATGAAGAACAAGTTCCTACAGCAAATGCATACAGCTCATGAGGAAGCATCACCTCTCCTGCTGTGTATTCCTAAAGGCTTTAAAATTCTACCACATTCTTCACGGGGAACACAACATGAGCATAAACGCGGACAGCAAGAAACCACTAAGGGAACGGCTCTGTACCTCTTCAGCTTCGTCTTCTTGATCCCAATTCCTATCTGTTAATTCCTTCTCAGCAATTCTTTTGGCCATTTTTGTGAACCTAGATTATAGAAAATAGAAATAAGATGTTTGCTTTTCTGCACCAAGATAGGTCTTACAAATAATTTTGTCTTCATTTATTTTGTAATAAAATCACAAAATAGAGAAACGTAAGAAAAAGCAGTTAACTGGTTTTAAGCCAATGAGCTTTACTTAGAGGACTTTGCTCAAAGGGAGGGAAATATAGTAGGAAATTAAGGAAAATATGGAGTTAAGAGAAGCTAATTTTACTTTTTTAATTAATTTTTTCGTTACAAGTAATTTAAAAAATCTAGTCCAGCACTGAATGTGGTAAGCAGGCTCCTGATGCAGTGAAACGGCTTCAGTGAGAGCTCTGTCAGGCTGTGGGACTCCAGTGGTGCGTACTCTATCTCTATTTGAAGAGGCAGGCAAAGACACCTGAGGAACACTGGCACTCTTTCTGAACAGGAAGCCAACTCCATTCAGAAAGATTAGATGAAACATCTATTGATCTTTCAAAATCTACAATATTTATGCAGTATATTATACATACAGTAAAGTCCTTAAGTCAAAGTAAATATTTTTGTCATAAACAAAACATTTTTAATATTTAAAATTTAAAGATGATCCGTAAGTTTATTCTTGGATTAAGGATTTAATAATGTACTGGAAATACTTTAGTAACATGAATAATTTTCTTTTCTTTTTTTTTAGATTTATTTATTATGTACACAGTATTCTGTCTGTATGCCAGAAGAGGCCACCCTATCTTGTTAAAAGTAGTTGTGAGCCACCATGTGGTTGCTGGGAATTGAACTCAGGACCTCTTGAAGAGCAGACAGTGATCTTAATCTCTGAGCCACCTCTCCAGCCAATGAGTAATTTTCTTAAGGCTACAATTGATATAAATGTCTTCCAACTAACATTTAATTGCTCTGAATTACATATTGTGAAAAGGTAAGACATTACTCACAAATTCAGAAAATAACATGCTTCAAAAATACACCCTCAGGGTGGGAAAGATGGCCTGGCAGGTAAGGGAATGCGCTGGTACTGTAGAGGACGATCCCCAGCACCCACCAGAAACTCACAAGTACCCGTAACTCCAATTCCTGGGGTACCTAACTCTTCTGGATTCCACAGCTGAGTAAGCACTACCCAAATAATAAATCTTTAATAATGATAATAATGACGATGACAGCAATAGCCAGGGATGGTGGTGGCACACACCTTTAACCTCAAGGTTAGAGTTAGAGGTAGGTGAATCTCTGTGAATTCAATAGCAACAACAGAGGCTGAAGAGAGAGCTCAGCAGTTCGGAACACAAACTACTCTTGCAGAGGACCTGAGCTTTATTCCAGCACCCATGTCCAGCAGCTCAAAGGCTGTGGGGATCCAGTGCCCTCTTCTAGCCTTCACAGGTACTGTGTACACACACACACACCAAATAAAATGGAAAAAAAATTAGGCTCCATCAGATCTGACTGAGGGCTTTGATCTAAGCGCTGTGTGGGTTCTTCGAGTCTCAGCAGCAGCAGCAGGGCACCTGTCCAGGCTGGCAGTATCTGTCAGGACTCTTTCTGACACTTTCTCCATTCCCCTGCCCTCAGCACAGCAACCCACCACAGTGGGCATCCTAGAACAGACACTAGATCCCATCTTACCCATCGTCCAATGCTCTCTATCAGAAGATTAGCAACTACAGAATTCATTTTAAATCAGAGATTTCCAAAGCCCTTCACAATCTGATATGCAGGGAGGGCTCTGGCTTTTAATACATCCCAATCTTTTACATTTCTCTTATAGGTACGTCTTTTTTCTGATTACAGAACGAATGATTAAAATTGAAGATTCTAAAATACACAGCATGAGCTGTGATAACACCAGTAACTGGGAACCCTCTTCTTTTACGTCCCCAACCCCCAAGTGCAAAGTTGACCTAATCAGAAATAGCATACTTCATAGAATTCTTCACAGGTAAGGAAGGTCTCTGGATCCATCGGGAGATTTTCTAGTCATTACCTATCATCAACACCAGAGGGCAAAAGAGGCGGGCAGTGGACCAGTTAGAGTCACTGTTTCATGATGTGGACAAAAGGGATGGATGGTGGAAGCATATAAAATACTAAGTAAAACTTGAGCGTCTAACTCATACTTGAAACTAAAAAGTAACTGCCATAATAAAACAAATTAATGAAGCTGAGGCCATTTCATATTTATTCAGTCAGATAAACCAGAAGGCAAGAATTTTAGTTCGGTTTACTGATGACTCCAAATGTCCCAACCCTGCTTGACTCATGACTAACTGTTGCTGCATCAGTGATCTGAGGCATTACATATCCGAGAAAAATACAAGATACGAGTGGCATTACAAGATCCAGGACAGAGTTTGGTGGGACGAAAGGAGTGCTACAAAAAACTACTAAGTAGATAAAAAGCACTGCTTAGAATGGTGCCTGGAACACAGGAAGTGCTTTGTAAAAAATAAACATGCTCGATTAAAATTTATACTCCCAAACCCAAAAGGTGTAGTGTGGGAAAACAAAGTAACTCGAACTATAGGTTAAGCTTTTAAAACACATTTCCCCAACCGGGGTGAAGGCAATGGGGAGGTTGAGGCAGGATGAGAGAGCTGAAGCCAGTCTAAGTCACACAAGTTCAAGGACAGCACTGGAGCCACACATAGCAAAACCTTGCCTTTAAAAACATAGATACCAAATACCTACTTATTCCTCCAAAAAGTTCTTTTCCTCTTTCGAAAAGACATCTTTGCGAAGTACTTGGAACACGTCCTGGCGCTAGAGACTTACTTGCTAGCTATTATAGCTATTATTAAGGCTTTTACTTTTTTCTTTGGGGGTGCTGGGGACGGAACTCAGGTCCGTGCTAGTCCAACCTTCGACCACTGTGATACCGGGGAAATCTAATCCCCATAACAAATGAGTTACCAGCAGCCAGGAAGAGTTTGCCAAATGTCCGCGTTTGTGGCTAAAATGGCACCAAGTTATGAAATGCTTTCTAGATCGGAAGGAAGCGCTGTAGATATTCGGAGAAGCGCATTATTCGTGAGCGATCGCTTCCTGCAGTGAGCGTGTGCACCGGGTACAGTCTTGTGCTCAGAGAGGAACTTCACGTGGGCTATCCGCGACAGCCAAGCGCAGATCGAGGTCACTGAAACCGCCCGGGAAGCCCTAACCTCAAAACCGGCTCTGCACGAACGCGAGTGACCAACGGCCTGGGAACGCTGCGGTGTCACCGGGGCCAGCCGGGGGCGGGCGGAGGACGACGTGTGAGGAAGGCAGGCCAGGGGTGGGTTAGGGCAGCCCTAACGCCGCCACCGTCGCCGCCCCGGCCGGGGCCCGAGCCCCGCCGAGCCCTCCTCTGGCCAGGAGGACGCCGCAGGTCGCTGGGCAGGCCCGGCTTCACAAACAGCCGGCCGCGTCGCCAAAGGCCAACGCCGCCCCGCCCTCCCGGCCTGCCCGGCACTCACCTCTTGGGCGGCCGCCGTAGATCGCGCCGGGTGCCGGGCGCCGCGACGAGCAGGGCCGAGGCGGCGGTCGCGGCCGCGGGGAGCTTCCGGGGCCCTGAGCGCCTCCGAGGACTTCGTAGTCAGCAGGCCTGGGAGCTGTGCGTCTTTGAGTCCGACACTGAGGGGAAGAGACATCCGCTCAGCCTGGAAGCCGCTACTGAACGCTGAAGAGAGCGCTCGGAGCCGCCATTTTGTAACTCGAAAATACCCGTCGGAACCAATTCGAAAGGGGAAAAAAATAAAATAAAAAGAGGAGGAAGCCAGAAACGCCCTCGTCCAACTACTGCGCAAGCGCGTCGGGGCCCCAGCAGCCAGCACGGCTTCCTAAGGGCCGCGGCGTGTCACGTGGCTCGCGCGTACTGCACCCCCCCCCCACCTTGGAAACGGCCGCTGGGAGGAGCATGAGTTTCGCGCAGGGGCGCTGGGACGCAGGCTGTTGGCGGGGCGGGAGGGAATAGAGCCGGCGCCTTCGGCGGCGCGGGTGAAACACGTTGGTCACGTGTCGGCCGCCTTCCCGGTTTGAGGCGGTCCGCGCGCCAATCGCGGGCAAGGCGCGGGTGGGAGGACTCGTGCGGTCAGCCAGTGACTCTGCTGGACGCCTCTGGTGCTGTGCTGGGCGGCCGAGGCAGCGGGATCGAGGCCGGGGAAGAGGAGGCGAGTGCAGCGTGCTTCTCCCGCGGATGTCCCTGCGGCGTCTCAGCGCGCGCGTGGAAGCTGAAAGTTGCTGCATGGGGCTGGAGATCCCCGAGGGACAGGTTCTCACGAGTCGCCTGCCCCCGTTGCTGTCACCTGATAGACATCCTCCGATTGCCTCCTTGGGAGCTGTGGAGGTGAAGTCAATTCCCCAAAGCTGCAGGACCAGTTGGGGCCAACAGGAGATGAAGTCCCCCAGGGGATGCTTCGGCTGCGGGACCAACACCTGCGTCCTGCATTAGGACTCCTGGTTTTGTGCTTTTAGCTGACTGCGGTTCAGTTGCACAAAGGGATTCCGGGTGGTCGAATTCTTCTGATTAAGGTTTAAAGAGAATGTCAACCAGAAGACACTGTTGTCATTAGACCCATCATTAACCATCTAGAAATTATTTTCAGAAAAATAAGCATTTTTAGAGCAGCAGTTCCTAACTTTTAGGAGAGGAGAAAAAGGGTTCCAAGCAGAAATCAAGTCTCTTAGTTTCAGGCTATTTCATCTAGCAACCCCTTGACAAGAACAGAGAAATAATTGATATGGGATTCCCCTCTGTATGCTGTGAATACCGCTGGTGAATAAAGAAACTGCCTTGGTCTGTTGATAGGGCAGAATTTAGGTAGGTGGGGAAAACTAAACTGAATGCAGGGAGAAAGAAGGGTAGAGTTGGAGAGAAGCCATGTAGCCCCGCTAGAGACAGACACGGGAACTTGAGCCAGTTAAAGCCACAGCCATGTGGAGAAACACAGATTAATAGAAATGGGTTACATTAATATGTTAGAGTTAGCCAATAAGAAGCTAGAGCAGTGTTTTAAATAATATAGATTCTGTGTAATTAATTCTGGGCTGAGCAGCCAGAAATGATCAAGCGCCCTCATAATAATAGAGAATAGTTGGCACAGTGGTAGAGTACTTGCCTAGCATATGGGAAATCCTAAATTCAAACCCAAAGCCACAGAAAGAAAGAAAAAAATGATTGCACTTATTACTTACATGGGTTCTGCAATCAACTGACTGCAAATTAAGCATATTCTGAAAAATTGTGTTGAACGTGTGTAGAATTTTTCTTATCAATCTCTACACATTTCAACTATGTCATTGTATTAACATTGTATTCGCTAATACAAATACTCCAAAGTATCTAAAACCAGTCAGGTCATGTTGACTTCCAACCAAAGTCATAGTTTTTGGAAGGCTGAGGCAAGAGGATCAACCCAGTTCAGCCTGAGAAATGCAAAACCCCTCTTCGAGATAAGGTTTCTCTGTAGCTTTGGTGCCTGTCCTGGAACTAACGCCTGTAGACCAGGCTGGCCTTGAACTCACAGAGATCCACCTGCCTCTGCCTCCTGAGTGCTGGGATTATAGAGATCCACCGCCTCTCTTTCTTCTGTAATACATACCAGAGCTGGACATGATGGTGCACCCTTTTAATCTCAGCACTTGAGGACTAAGAGGTAGGCAGATCTCTGTGAGTTCCAGGCTAGCCTGATCTACCTAGTTCCAGGACAGCCAGAGCTACACAAAAAGACCCTGTCTCTAAAACACAACAATAGCAAAATTAACCTAAAGAGTTGGGGATACAGCTCAGAGGTAAAGCACTTGCTATACTTGTGAGGCCCTACATCCAAGCCCCAATACCAAACATAAGCCATAAGTAAATTAGAGGTGGTGGCCCACACCTGTAATTCCACTACTCAGTATTGATGAACAAAAGCCCGGCTGGAAGCCAGGTTCATTGGCATTAGATGTTAGTGTGAATCCTGCCTGCAGTCCAGGTTATGGGCAGTCTTACATAGTAGTTTTAGGAAACATTGAAATCCAGCTGTTTATAATCTGGGAACTGGGACAGGATTGCAAGTTCAAGGCCATGTTGAACTATCAAGTGAGGTCCTTTTCTCCAACAGATAAACCTGTAAGTAAAGTACATATGTGAACACTGTGCCACTTCATATAAGAGCCTTGAGCAGGCTGGAGAGACGGCTCAGTGTTTGAAAGCACTTGTTCTTTTAGAGGACCTGGGTTCAATTCTTGCTTAACTGAAGTACATCAACCCAATGCATGGTTTTTGTGTTTTAAAGCTCACCCTGAGCAAAACTCAGGGCTACAGTGGGATCCTGAACACTCAGCGTAGTCAATGGTCAGCAAATAAAGACTTTCTGTTGGCTTAAATCCATGTCTGAGCATCTTCTCTGGGAATTCAAAACATTCATACTTCCAAATAATCTAAATTTAGAAAAAGAGAGACAACACAACTTAAGATTGTATATCTGCAGGTGTGGGTACAAAGGTCCTTGGGCTCATTGCATAAGCATTACCTGGAATGTGAATATATAGGGTTGTCTCTTCAAAGGAAGAGACGTATAATCTGTTTTCCACCTTCAAGGCTGTGAATGGAGGTGATTAATAGCCTAGGTGACCTTTGTGCTATTTGTGCAGCCAGGCTACACTTGGTCCTTGCAGACCCTCATAAGCAGGAGGTATCTAGTAGTCTAGTGACCTTGTGCTAACTGTATGACCAGAGATGACACCAGATCCTCCCCTGTTGGAGGAGGGTGCCACTTGTTTGTCTCAGCCTCCCAGAACTAAAATAATCACATAGAAACTGTATTAATTAAATCACTGCTTGGCCCATTAGCTCTAGCTTCTTATTGGCTAATCTCTTACATATTAATTTAGTCCATTTCTATTAATCTGTGTATCACCACATGGCAGTGGCTTACTGGCAAAGTTTTGGCATGCTTGACTCTGGCAACGGCTCCATGGCTTCTCTCTGACTCCACCCTTCTTTCTCCCAGCATTCAGCTTACCTAAATTCTGCCCTATCAACAGGCCAAGCCAATTTTCTTCATTCACTAATGGTAATCACAGCATACAGAGGGAAATCCCACATTACCTCCCCTTTTCTGTTTAAATAAAAAAGGAAGGTTTTAACTTTATCATAGTAAAATTACATATAACAAAATAGGTATCAAGCAAGAATTAGTTATATCTATTTTATTTTTTATCATAACTAGGGAAAACTATATTATTACTATCTATTCTTCAACTCTGTCAAAGACTACAGAAAGCTATTATTACCTAAGTAAACAGGAAGTGCATTGCAACCAACTTCCAAAATTCTAGAATTGACAGAGACATTTCACTGCCTGGACAGTTGCCCAATGTCTGTACTGTTGGGACATCCATCTTCAGCCTACAGGCCCATAGTATCCAGCAGGCTTTTCCATGAAGCAGGAAATTTCAAAGACAGTTCTGCCTATATTGGCAGTTTGTCGGTTTTTCTGTGCCCTGCAGAATGTCTGGCAGACTCTTTCATGTATCAAGAACCCTGAAGGATTATCTCACTTTTAGGCAAGTTAAGCAGTCATTTCTCTGTGGGTCCTGCTTGCCCAGTTAAGTAGTACAGGCAAGAGCAGTTTGTTGCCCAAATGGCTGGCAAACTCCATAAGGAGCCTCTTCGATGCCCATCTTCCTTTTGAAGTAACTGGTGCTGCCAAGAGCAGATGTGTCTCACTGTCATGAAAAGTCTTAAGTTCTTAAACATTTTAAATGCCATATTCTGATGGTCTCTGAAAGATTTAAAGAATACCTCTCTAACTGAAATACATCTCTATACATCTAGAAAATCTAACTAACATTAGTACAAGCTTGACTATTATAGATGATGATCTATTAACCTATATTTCTTTTTTTTTTTTTTTGATTTTTCGAGACAGGGTTTCTCCGTAGCTTTTGGTTCCTGTCCTGGAACTAGCTCTTGTAGACCAGGCTGGCCTTGAACTCACAGAGATCCGCCTGCCTCTGCCTCCCGAGTGCTGGGATTAAAGGCGTGCGCCACCACCGCCCGGCTTAACCTATATTTCTTAATTATACATTACATTTTTTAAATGAACTACACAACACCTTAATTGAGAGCAGAAATATATATATATATATATATAACAAGATTGACCTTAAATTTGTATCAGTAAACTAAGATCTATACCAATGCAAAATTATTCATATCTATATCATATCCCCCTTTAAATGTAAACAAACATTTATAGACAATATTTGGGAATATGGGTGTAGTTTTCTCCATACTGCTTCCTGCTGATTGTTGGGCATAGTAATTTTTGGGAGTGTTCACGGCGACCTTTGGGGGAGGGGGGTCTTGTTTCATTAAACCATACCAGTATAGAAGCAATCCACAGGTTCTCATCCTCTTTGGAAACAAGAGAAGAACCTCTTTTCCAAAGCAACATATCCTCAGACCCAAATTTGGAAGTCATGATGCCTTTATAATATATATGCTGGTTTAGCTTAGCAGCCCATATAATGAAATGTCTCTCTGTACTTAGCTCATTCACAGTCAAAAAATTCCAAGATGACATAATAATATACATAATCCAGACTCTGTAAATTTTCCATTTTTACGTGGCTTATTTTTCTTTACTCCTTTTAATCTATGACTATCTGTACTCTGTCTCTTTAAAGACTTTACCCTTTTTTTAAGCATTAACCTTTATGACTCTCTATATTCTTTTTCTTCTCTTGTCCAAGGTCC